CCCTACATTTCTTCATATTATGAAATCTAGGGTTGGGTCTAATCCAGTAATCCTCATCACTTTTTTGTCTTTTTTTCTTCTTCTATTTTTATAGGGAAATCTGCTTTTGGGTTACTATCATTTTTTGTTGCCTAAATACTTACATTTACATTTGCATCTCGCGATAAGCTTCCACGTTTTGGACTTTCTTATCCTATTTTGGATTACTGTAGGAGAACTGTAATATATGTTACATCAGTCAATACTAATTTAGTCTAAAAATAATGTCATAAATTACGGTATAGAACTTGTTAAACACTCAAAAAAACATTTGGATTTTATGCACCTCTAACTAGTCCTCATAAGCGTGCCGCCTACTGTGGCTCTTTGGTTGACAGAGTTTGTAAGACCTCAGGGGTCACGGGTTCAATCCCGCCTATGCGCGGAATGAAATTCTTAGACATATAAGATTGGTTGGAAGGCTCGTATAATAGCCTCTAGCCAATCTTAAGAAATGAAAAGGAAAAAAAAAAACTACTTAAAAGCATAGAGAGGCTGTTAAGTGTTGTGAAAAACGACAGCAATAAAACAAATAATTGGAACGAGAAAATCGAACAGAGACACACAAATTTACGTGGTTCAACAAATTGCCTACGTCCATGGGGTTGCAGAGGATTTTATTGCTTTAAAGATTGCACAGTTTTTCTACAGGGTTACAAGAATAAGACTCCACTTCTCTCTCTCTCTACCCGTGAGCCACATGGAGGAAGAAAACTGAGGGAGGGGTGGAACAGGAACCTGCGAATCCCTGATTCCTTTTCTTCCGTAAACCAACGCCCGAGAGAAAACCTTTCAACGGGCTTCACACAATACTCAGCATTAGGAACCATCATGCACTTTGTGTTATGCCATAGTATCACCCACAAACTTATATAAAGCATTATTTTTCTTTATGGGGGTGAATCATTCCTTTAAGATAACTGATTTTATTTTGTATTATACAATTGTTGTGTGTCTTACCAAATTATATTTTAAAAAAGTGATTAAATCACAGGGCTTTACAACATAATAGAGAAACAAATTTCATTAGTATAAAATCACTTGAAGATTTAATCATTCAATGTGAAAGAAGTGGCTTTACAAGCCAATTTTATCACTTGGTAGAATATTGTTGATGTTATGATTTGCTAAGTAATACTTCTTCAATGTTACTAAAACTTTCAAAAGCATAAAAAATGCTTCTGCCTGTTGCATTAACATTAGAAGGTTTACAGATATATCACTAAACATTAATGTATGTACCTTTCTAATACATAAACATAATACAAAACATTCCGTGGAATGATTAATGACTCAAAATTTCACTACAAGTTTGCATTGCAGATGTTTTTCAATGATTGTATATTTGTGAATTTAGTCCAAACTGAAACAGCCTTTAGGATCTCGAGTTATGCCATAATCAACTATATTTAGGCCCCGTTTGGGGCGGTGGTAGAGGAGCAGCACGACACTCGCCAGCACGACCCTCGCCGCTTTTTTATGGTGTTTGGGGCGATGGGGCAGGCGCGGTGCCCCGCGATTTTGCTTAAACGCCGGCCGTAGGTTCGATCCAGCGGCCCACTTTCCGCTTCGACGTTTTACGCTGGTGCCCTCTTGCGATTCCGCCCTTCCTCCTCCTTCGGCACGGTAAGCTGCGATCTCCACCTCTGTTCGCACGAAGAAAAACCTCCGCCGCTCCAAGTTGTGATCTTCCCCCACCTATTTTCTCTTCCACTATTCGCACAAGGCAGGACCTCTGCCGCTTAAACTTGCGATCTTCCCCCACCTGTGCTCTCTTTATATCGTGAAATTCTTAGATCTCTCAAATCCTCTTATCTCCCACTCACTTACGCCTCTCACCTCTCGAAGAAAGCTGAGTTCCGCACCATCTTTATATTTGGATGTGAGAGTGATCCCTTCACAACATTGTTGACCTTTTTGATACCGTTGAGTACTCCCTCTCAATTCTTAAGAAGGGCCGTCTCCCATAAGACAAATCTGTTGAACAAGAAATTTCCTCTATGCTCTTCCCTCAATATTTATTGAGAATAATGAGATAAGTATTTACTTATTATGCTTTATTTGCTCGCCTATTTCAAAGTGTTGTTTTGTGATGTTGCTGCACCTTTGAACAGTGCATGTGTGGGTATCATTCGTGATTTGGCTGAGAATTAATTGGTTTTCAATCTAACAATTTTTCATAGGTTTTGGGCATCTTTCTTAATGGATTTACTGTAGTACTACAATGGTCAACGAGAACAAAGAGACTGTCATGCCTGTACTGTGGGAAAAAGAAACGAAATTTTCTTTTTGCACACTTTATAGCATATGTTTTCATAAATTTTAATTCTTTAATTAATTCCATATCAAATGAAAATCATTTGCAATTACATTTTACACACTTTATAACATTTGTTGACATTGTTATATTTTGAAATGAATTTATGTTTATGAAGTATCAAATATTTGGTTGTCATAGTTTTGTTTGAAACAGTTTTAGTAAACGAGGGTAAAATGATCATTTTTTCAGAAATAGTTGTCTCACAGCTGCAACAATCAGACATCCAACTTCCCCGCAACAGCTTCCCCATAGTAACTTCATGGGGCAATGCAGCTGCAGCTTCTCATCTTTTATGCTGCTGCTGCGCCAAACAGAGCCTTAATTTGTAATCCACACAAATCTGAACTGCGTAGTTGTCAGAATTCTATCCTCGATGAATTCATTTAGAAGTTTTAATTGTTATCTTAACATATAAGAATTATTTTTAAGTATGAAATACTATTTTTCATACTGAAATCATATATCAATGAATTTGTATGTTTTACATTAATAAAAGAACTATCATTGGAACATATTTCAACTCCATAGAACACCATAAAATCACGTTACTAAGTTTAGTTGTTTATATTGTTATAGCCAAAATGGATAAGAGTTGAATCAGTAAATTTAGATTGAGTCTTAAATATATAGATGAAGCAAACAAGTTTTTAGAATTTGCATTAATAGATTTTTTTTCTTCTTCCATTAAAAGGTGTTTGACTTCATCTGATATCCAAATGGGCTCGGTTCAACGAGATAGAAATTAATTCTGAAATTCTCATATACTGATACTTGTGCATAAAGTTTGAATGAAATATGGTGGATTTCAGTTAGTCAAGTTTAATTAACATTATACTAAGGCCCCGTTTTGAGCTGAGTTTTTCGCACTACATGTCACGAAAATGCGATTGGGGGTGTTTGGTTAGTGCATCGCGACGGAGGTTTTAAATAATTTTGATAAAATGCGGGTCGCGCGGTCGATCCCTCGGCCCGCGTTTCGTCTTTCCTTTCCATTTGGCTTTTTACTCCCCTCTTTCGCGAGCTCTTTGCTCTCATGTCCCGCTCCGAGCTCTCCTCCTCCTCTCTGATCTGTGACTCCTTTGGCAAGGGTTTGTCTGTTTTCTCCTCTCCCTATCCCCTCTGTTCTTCGGTTTCGTTTGGTTTCTTTGATCTCCCTCGGCCCACAGTATTCTCTACCATTATCTATTCGACATTTTTTTTTTTAAATTTTGAGATCATTTTAGTTTCTCCTAGCTCTATTCGGTCAATGTTTTTCGAGTAGTTGTACACTTGTGTTAGATTTTGCAATTTCAGTGATTTTGGTTTTTGTGATTTTTTTTATTGGTGATGTGGTGATGGCTTGTTCTGTAAATTTGGTTAGAGCATTATTTGTGTTGTGATGCTGGTGGATCTAACACACTTCTAAACTTAGTTAAATATTTTAACTTAAAATAACTTAAGCTAATTGATTAAATCCTAACAGACTAAATTAGCTTAACTGAAAAATAAATATCAACTTAAATAAAACTAAGTTAATTAATTAAACTTCAATTAAATTAATTAAAATTTGGTTAACTTTAATCTAAATCAAAACTAGAATCAATCAAATATTAACTTAAAGCTAAAACATTAAGTAAACCATAATTAAATTCAATTATAAGTAAATCAAACTCTTTTTCAAATCAAAATAAAAAACAGATTCATGACCTAAAACTATAATTGATTGAAAATTGAACATAATATTAAAGATATTAATTATATTTCATTAGGAATACAATAAAAAAACAAAAATTATAATTAAAACATAGTACTTGAACCATGAGGTACAACATTAATGATATGATGAGATTACTTTTCACTCTTCTAAACATAAAAACACTTGCACAAAAGTCCAGTTGTAACATCTCCGGGTGCATTTGGGGCGACAGTGTGGTGATGGTGTGGCATCGCACCGCATCGCACCGCGTCTTGCTTTTTAGGGTTTAGTAATATTATGTTTTGCCTACTTTTTGAAAAATAGAGGTAGAAAGTTGTGTTCTATGATCTTAAATGTCGTGGCTGCCTGAAACCTACACTCACAGCTGATTCTTCAAATAGTATCTACTAGAGAGAACCTTAGTCACCATTAGTACTAAATCAAACTATTCATCCCAAATCCTTGCCATTTTTACTCCACAACTACCATCTTCTCAAACTCCATTACTATCAACAATATTTAGCATGGCGGAAGATCAGTCGGGGGAGGCCTAACAGACTCCATCTTCCCAACCCCATCCTCCACCCAAAACACCATTGCCATCCCCCATTCATGGTGTATCTCCATATGACAATGCATCAACCAAACCCCCGGATTATTCGCCACAAATCTTATCACCGTCCACCCTCCTGCCGGAATTCCCACTGTATTCCTCTTTGGAGGATCCACCATATTCAACTCACCCCCATCCCTCTCCATCACAAATTCCCCAATCCCCCTACCCATCACATAAAAATCATACCCATGTAAATGAATAGGATGCTCTTCCTCCAACAGCAAGCTGCTTCCCTGCAGCACCACCTGAACCACAGATCCATATTTGATCTTGTAGATCTTCGTCCCCTTTACCGTATGGTTAAATTTCATAGCAGGAGAAGGGGGGAAATCAGATGTGAAAACACCAACCTGATCGAAGTACGCTGCTTCAAGAATCGAATTTCTTCTCGGAGCCACGAAGGAAACATCATTCATGCTCGCGATCGTAAGTGAGAATGGCTGTGGTGGTGTAGTTGCGAAATTGAGGGATCGGAAAGGAGCTTTCGAAGCGGTGAGCAGCAATGTAATATCGACCCTGATTTTGGTTGGTGTGGAGCAGAACGTCGGTGGTTTGGCCGGGGCCGAGCATCAGGTAGGAGGTGTTGAAGGGTTTGGTGTAGGAGGCGTCAGCGGAGACGACGATCATCGTGTGGCCGGCGATGGAGACGAAGAAGTGGAGGTTCATTGCGGCGTTGATGAAGCGGAGTAGTAGGGTTTCGCCGGTGGTCGCGGGGATCACCATTGTTTCTGCTCATAACACAAATTAATTTAGGAAAGTTTATATGCAAAAATATACGTATTTGAGTATTATATGATATTATTCGATTATTTTAAGTTGTTATTGGAATATTCGGTCGCGTTATTTGATTTGAGGCTGAAGTGTTATTGAAATATTGTCCCGCGTTACTTGATTTGAGGTTGTGTTATTCAAATAACATAATGAAAATTAAAATAATACAGGGAATATGAAAATTAAAAGAATATAATACGAGGAATATGTTGAATAACACAGCCTCAAATCAAGTAACGCGGGACAATATTTCAATAACACGACAAAATAATCGAATAACACCATATAATACTCGAATAACACTTTATTTTTTACAAATAACACAGATAGAATATTCCTGTAACACAACGAGATATTTCTAACTATTTCAATCTCAATGTAGCTTTTGAGAGTTCTGATGTAATATATACAAACATCTATTCTGATGCATTTACTTATCACCCACCCAAATTTTCATTTTTACATCTTAAGCGCCTATTCACAGATAGAAAACGATGCTTTAGCTGTACAAATCAAAGTTTGAGTGGGAAATATGTAAATATATAAGAATTTGATAAAAATAAAAAATATGACAATGTATACAAATAAATGATCTATTTATGCAAGTCACGATCAAATTATTGAGAATTTGACAAAAATGAAAAATATGAATTGGAGTTTTCTCATAAAATTTTGATATTTGAGTGAGAATTTGAAAAATGGATGAAAGGGGGATGATTGATTTGAAAATAGCAAGTTTAGGCTGGTTTGCATTTATGGAACATTTACATAGATATCCCTCAATTTTTACCTATTTACATATCCAACCACAACTAAACTATAGTTTTTATGTACATAATACCTTATTGTCACGGACAAAAAAGTCCCACATCGGCTAGGTGTAGAGCCAAAAAGTAGTATTTAAGTCGGGGACTGCCCACCACTCCTAAGAGCTCTTTTGGGAGGTGACATTATGCTCTAAAATGTATATTTCATTTTCCTAATTAAATTGATGATTTTTTTTGTATGTGATGTGAAAGATTTGATTAGCAAAATTGTAAAATGTAAAATATTGGGGTTAGACATGTAAATGAATAGTAATTGAGTGGTATGTATGTAAATGCATTAATATTTACATATTTTATTAAAAAATACACGTTTGAATATACCTTTGCTGGAGCACTGAAAAAAATCACCAGGTTGGCCATTGAGGAGAAAGGCATCAGTGAAAGCTGGAAATACTCCTTCCTGAATTTTTTTCTCTGAGTCTTCAACGTAATTTATATTCCACCATTGTCCTGTCATTTATTACATTCATTGTCATTATCCTTTTTTCATCTTTGCCTCTTTTTTGTTTGGAATTGTTTTATTAGCAACATAAGGATTTACTATTACTATTATTATTATTATTTTTTTTTAGTTTTATATATATATATATTCTATTGAAATATCATCAAAATCATCTCCTTCATATGCAAAACTTTAAATTACAAATTTGATTAAAATATATTTGATTTTTAATTGATAAAAAAAAACATTATATATGTAATCATTTTAAAGATAATTATTCCAAAACTAAAAAAAATATATTTATTTGTCTTATTTCTTTAAAATTAAATTAATGAGGACAATCATAAATATAATATTTTTTATAATAAAATGCTAAAATTAAAAAAATATATATATTTACATTAAATGTATAAACAATAATTTGAAGAATAATAGTATCATACCAAGAATGATGGGGACCTCCTTTTGTGGTTTAGGGAAAGGATAGGAGGAAGATAATTTGGGGTATACAATGATGGCGCCATGAACGGTGAACCTCAGCCAAGGGGTATGAGCATGCCAGAAAAATGTCCCCTCTTCGCTCTCAACATTGAACCTATATGTGTAGGTCCCACCACACTTAATTGGACATTGGGTCACATATGCGGACCCATCTGCCCATCCATTTCTCATTTGCCTCAATCCATGCCTGAAAAAGACATTTAAATATCAAACATGTATTAATATGTAAAATATTATATACTAGGTGATTTTTTTTATTATTTATCTCCAAAGTATTAATCATATTTGTCATTTTATTATAACATCATCTTATATTAGTATTATTTTCTTTTTTTATGATACATAAGCTGGCTCGTGAGCCGGCACGAGCTCGTAAACTCAAGCTTGAGCTCGATCTCGATATATTTAATCAAGCTCAGGTCGACGGTGGCTCGAGCTGGACTGGACTGGACTCATTCACACCCCTAGCTCTATGACATTAAGGTGTCATAAATATAAATATCAAGGCTTGGGTGTTAGACATATAAATACATAAGAATTTCTCAGTATTTTTGGAGAGATTTACATATATACGACTCAATTCTTATATATTTACATATCTAACCCCTAAACTTTAGTGTTTCATACCAGTGAATTGTAACATTATATTTGACCCGGTTGACAACTTTGACGACGAAGCTATCTCCGTTATGAGCCTCCAAAGTGGGCCCTGGAAACTGCCCGTTCACTGTAATAATCGTGCTACTATTGCATAGCCTCTTCACCTCCTTCTCTTCAACCTTATATTTGCATAATAAAATAATTTCATCAAATACTATTACAAATAGGGCTCAGCATTTAGCTCGAAGCTCAAGCCCGCTCGCAAGCTCGAAATAAAAAAAATAATTTTTACGTGAGCTCGTCGGAAAAAGGTATTGGTGGTCGGAGGAGGATGCAACGCCAGTTCACAAAAAAATGCATCTAAAAGACTATAGCTAGGCTAATTGCTCCGACTCACAATCCAACGAGCCGAGCCCATACGAGCTTGAACTCGAGTGAGTTTAATAAACAAACTCAAGTTTGTAATTGAGCTCGTACTCGTGGCTCAATAAACTCAGGTCGTGAGCTCGAGTTGGCACTGACATACAACACGAACGAGTATATAAGATGCGAAAAAAAGGAAAGAGACAGAAGACATACAACAAATTCATGATAATGAACTTTAGCACTTGCAACATTAAGCAGCAGCAACAACAACAACAACACAAATAACAGAGGAGAAAGGAAGGAGCATCGCTTCCTATTACTCTCCATACCATCGATGCAATGCTAATGAAATGATAATTTATAGAATTTTATGACACTAATATATGTTTTAAAATAGGCAGATTGACTTTATGTAATCTTATAATAACAAAATTTGTCTACATTGTGAATCGGTCATAGTGTAAAATTAGATTTTATCAATTCAAAATGTGTTGCCGGACATTGCCAAATGTGTACAAATGTTTCGATATGTTGACTTGGTATTTCAATTTATAAAAAGAAATTTTTTGCTACATGCCACTAAATTCCTTCTATTTGCATATTTAGCACCTAAACTTTAATTTATATATAAGCATAAAAGGTAATATGGTATAAATGCAAAAAAAAAAAAAAATTTGGTGTTAGAATGTAAATAAATTGGAATTGGGTGGTATGTAAGTAAATGCTCCTAATAAGAATATTTGAATCAAATTCCACTAATTAGTCTTTTGTTTAATATGATAAATTTAATATTTAAAATTAAAAAAAATAAATAGTTTAATACACTTTTCAAACAACGAAATGCCTTAAAGATAAGTTTTTTTTTTTTTTTAATTATTAACATTTGAAATCATGATGGCATTATTGTAATTTTAGTTTGGACAGGGGGTAAAAATGATCATGTTCTATAAGCATTTTATAAAATCTTGTTTGTTAAATGAACATGATTGGATAGTTTGTTCCCTTATGGATCATGATTATGAACAATGATACAATGTTGTTTAAAGCTCGATAATTTCTAAAGCTTTCTAGACTTTGTAAGGTCGAGGTAGAAAAAGCGAAATCTCAAATTCTATAGGAATAATTGCTCCTGTTGGGCATAACCTGGTTCCGCCATTGGTAAGGCTCATTTATGTTTCTAGGCGAATTACATGTTTAGTGTTGCGAACTATATACCAATTGATGTGGTATATGTATAAATCAAACAGGAGAACGATCTTTGAAGCAAAAAAATGGAACGAGAAAATCCACACCATAAAACAGTAACACAGTAGAACACACAGATATATGTGGTTCGACAAATTGCCTACGTCCACGGAGTTGCAGAAGATTTTACTACTTGAGGAATTTACACCAGTTGATCGTTGATCGTCTCGACTTATTGATCGTCTCGACTTATAAGAGGACTCTCACTTCATCACTTCATTGTTCTCTCTTCTTCTCTCTCTGTTCTTCTCTCTCTACACCGAGATACACCGAAGAAACTCTACACCGAGATACCCGAAAAATAATGCTTTATATAAGTTTGTGGGTGATACTATGGCATAACACAAAGCACATGGCGGTTCCTAATGTCGAGTATTGTGTGAAGCCTGTTCCAAGGTTTTCTCTCGGGCGTTGGTTTACGGAAGAAAAGGAATCAGGGATTCGCAGGTTCCTGTTCCACCCCTCCCTTAGTTTTCTTCCTCCGTGTGGCTCCCGGGTAGAGAAACTGTGCAATCTTTAAAGCAATAAAATCCTCTGCAACTCTATGGACGTAGGCAATTTGCTGAACTACGTAAATTTGTGTGTCTCTGTTCGATTTTTTCGTTCCAATTATTTGTTTTATTGCTGTCGTTTTTCACAACACCTAACAACCTCTCTATGCTTTTAAGTAGTTTTTTTTTCTTTTTTTCTTAAGATTGGCTAGAGGCTATTATGCGAGTCTTCCAACCAATCTTATATTTCTAAGAATTTCATTCCGCACATAGGCGAGATTGAACCCGTGACCCCTGAGGTCATACAAACTCTATCAACCGAAGAGCCACAGTTGGCGGCACGCTTATGAGGACTAGTTAGAGGTGCATAAAATCCAAATGTTTTTTTGAGTGTTTAACAAGTTCTATACCGTAATTTATGACATTATTTTTAGACTAAATTAGTATTGACTGATATAACATACATTACAGTTCTCCTACAGTGATCCAAAATAGGATAAGTAAATCCAAAACGTGGAAGTTTATCGCGAGATTGCAAATGTAAATGTAAGTATTTAGGCAACAAAAAATGATAGTAACCCAAAAGCAGATTTCCCTATAAAAATAGAAGAAGAAAAAAAGACAAAAAAGTGATGAGGATTACTGGATTAGACCCAACCCTAGATTTCATAATATGAAGAAATGTAGGGCGTTATTCACAAGGTAGAAAATGAAAGAGAAATAGTAAAATACATAGTGTGAGAGCAACCGGGTTGCCGGTTTTATTACCGTATCAAATAAATACTGATGTAGTACCTCTTTTTACTGGATTCGTCTTGTTGAGCGCACGATTCAATTGTAAGTTCACCGAATTTGACATTCAGTAGACCGAAGGAAATATGCTAAAAAATACTTCCAAAAGTGGTTTGATGACTTGATCTGAGCTTGATTTTATTCATATTGGATCAATGTTCATACTATTGGATATGTCTCGTAGAGCCGGTCAATTTGACTGTTAGTTTGCTAAATTCGGAGCTCTAAATTACTTTTAATCGAAGTTTCAACATTTTTTGCTCAAGATGGGATCGAGATTCAAGTTAGATGTTAGAAATTTGTTGATCATGTATCAGTTGTTCTCCTATTTTTGGATGAGAATAATTTTGTCGTAAGAAAATATTAAAATCGTGTAAGCTCACGCTCTCTACATTTTTAAGAATACAAGTCTATTACATGAACACAAAATTAAAAACTACTGGCCAGCTTTGCTGGTCATCTCCTCTATTCTCATGCCTTCACGTTTCATATACAAATCGAATAAAAAGTCAGTATGGTGGGGTAGCTGGACCCATGTTGGTGCCATTAGGATTTAGGAATGGCAGAGCTGCTGAGGCAGGGAATTGTTGGAGTAAAATTCGGCCTTTTTTTCCTTTTTATTTAATGTTAGTAGCTGTTTTTTTTTTTAAATGTCTGAAATTCTTGTTTATTCTTTTTTTAATAGTAAGGGATCAGCGTCTCAAAGTTCAATACAGTGTCAAACGATGCTTTGTTTTTTACATATGTCGATAAATTGATGCGTGCTGGAAGATTCACGACAGTAGAGTAATATATTATTGTCTTAGCATTGCACGAGAATTCAACACACTATCAAAAATTATTAATATTATTATTATTAGAAATAAAGAAAAAGGAAAAAAAAACCCCTAAAATCGTTTTTTAGTTTCTTTAAAATAAAAGAAGCGAACTTTTCCGTGGAATATTTCAAATTTTGAGAAATAAAAAAAAAACTTATCTTTTATGGCATCTCTTCCTTTTAAAAGTATATTAAATTTTTATTTTTTATATTTTAAATATTAAATTTATCTTATTAAAAAAAAGACAAATTAGTGGAATTTCATTCAAATTTCTTTCTTAGGAGCATTTACTTACATACCACCCCATTCCAATTTATTTACAACCACAAAAATAAGAAAAAACTTCAGTAAGCACTATACAAAACAAACACAAAAGAATTGAGTGGTCTGTATGTATGTAAAAGCCCCAGTCCAAACCTATCGAGAATAAGCATAAAAGCTTTCAAGATGCATAGAAACACAAAATACCTCTTTCTGCCCATAACAGTCAATGATAACTGCTTTTGATAATAAAATACTAAAATTTAAAAGATATTTACATAAAATGTGTAAAAAAAAATTTGAAGAATAATAGTATCATACTAAAAATAACGAGGACCTTTTTTTGTGGTTTATGGAAAGGATACGAGGAAGATAATTTGTGGTATACAATGATGACACCATGAATAGAGAATCTGAGCTAAGGGTTATGAGATTATAAAAAAAAAAGTTAAATGATGAGCATATGCAAATCTCAAGATGGGATATTAGATTTCAATTTGGGTATAGGTTCGGACGAGACCCATTTTCTATTTATCTCGATCCAACAGACAACTGATATATCGAGGTCAACCTATCAACATCAACTAGAGGCCACCAACGAATCACCTCTATAATCATACAACCCTAGACCCTATTGTTTAAAGAATATGTGAACGGAGTAGTATCTGAACCCATCAAAGTGTAGTGTATGTGCATGTGAAATGTAGTATATAAACTCATCAAGGTGTAGTGTATGTGTATGTGAAATGTAGTATCTGAGCTCATCAAAGTGTAGTGTATGAACTGTATAATGTGTGTGTGAGTGTAGTATCTATTTCTTGTGCAAGTGTAATATCTGTGTAAAACCCGTAGTATCTCTTCTTTTCTAAATACCAATTCTCAGGCACTTTGAAAGGGGTTAGAGCCATTGACGATTTAGGAGTGAAAGAGCATCACACTAATTGAGTATTGATTTTATATTTCAACTATAAACAAAGCTGTCAAATGGTTCTTTGCATCATCGCCTATTACCCCCTCATCTCGGAAAGTAAAAGGAATCAAATCTAACAATGGAGTTAAAGCAAATATTATTGAATGAAATACAATTCAACATGAAATATAAAATCCATAGCATTATCAAATAAACTTATGCTAAGCAAAGGAACTAAACCCGAGCCATTAATGAGTGAACCGAAACCTATAAAGGCTCAAAATTGAAGTATGTGAATGTTAAACTAAAAAACAAGACTAAGCCATCATCAAGAGTCAAAATCGAGTTATTACAAAGCTTAGAGCTGAACCTGAGTCATCACCAAAAGCTCAAAACTGAAATACTGCAAAGCTTACAACTGAACCGGGTCATCACCAAAAGTTCAAAACCGAAATATTATGAAGCTTACAACTGAACCGATAAGAAGCAGAGTTGATCCCGATAAGTGACAAAACTCAAGTTCCAAACAATCATTCAAAACCAATATATGAATCTTCAAAGTATACTTTCAAATAGAAGTAGTTAGGGACATAAAACCAATCCCAAATAATTGTTCAAAACCTGTATATAGTTCTCCAAAAATTTTTCGAATGGAGCGACTAGAGGCACAAAACCAGCCCCCCCCCAAAAAAGTCGTTCAAAATATGCATATAAACCTTCCACAAATATTTCGAATGGGGGCAACTAGAGGCACAAAACCAGCCCAAAAAGAGTCGTTCAAAATCTGCATATAAACCTTCCATAAATATTTCGAATGGAGGCAGCTAGAGGCACAAAACCAGGCTTTTAAATAAATTTTAAAGCTAAAATACCATTTTCAACTTATTTTTGAAAAATGCAGCAAAAAAAGCTAAAAATCATGGCTAATATTTGGATGTGAGAGTGCATCTACAGATTATCAGAATAATCAACATATTATAAATAATCAGCAATTGCGCCAAACATATCCTAAATATCTTCTAATCTTTTGCTAGTGAGTCACCCTGCCTTCCGCCAGCAAGTCTCTCAATCATACTTATATCACTTTGTTAGATTTCCTTGAAATTCTTGTAGACTCATTATTTATTTATACATTTTAATTATATAATTCTCCTCTTAATCCATTTTTTAAATAATCAAAACTATTAATAATTTCCCTCCCTAAATTTTATAACACCCGATCATTGCTTCTTCACATCCAACACCTAAATACTAAATGCAATGGGGCCAAGCAGTGCCATCTACATCCCACCCGATTATTATGCATTCGCATATCTAAAACCTAGATGATAAAATGGAAAGCCGAGGTGGAATTTAAAAGAATTCTAGGCAAACTTACATTCATACCACTAAATGCTTACATATTTACATATCTAACACCTAATGGCTTTATATATTGCTACAAACTAAATTTATCATATCAAAAAATACTATTAATTTAGTTTTTACAAATTATTTATTTAATATTTAAATAATTCATATTAATATGAGCTGAATTCGATCAAACAAAAACTTCATGTCCGGCTCAATTGGCTCATATATAACTAATTTGTGCTTATTAAACGAATCTAACAAGAGCTACATAATAAACCTAACACAAACTGTTCAACGAACGGTTTTTGACAGCCAAACAACAGTCATCCTTAAGGATAATATAGAAATCAGCCTACCGGCTCCATATTTTTAGTCACCCCAAAACTACAATTGTTCCAAATTATAAAACCGAAGCATAGAGGAGTATCACATAAAGCTGCACCAATTATAATCAAATGGCTAGAAAGTAAAAATTTAGACATGACCTGCATTAAGATTATGGAGCGATTGGAGAGCCAGCACTACACATAACCTGCAGTAAGATTGGGGAAATATACTAGGATTTCAACGATAATAACAACATATTAAATCATAAATCAAACTATGATTAATGCTATAATAAGAGCAAAGAGAAGCTGTAAGCTTACCGACTTCATGTTCGAGACATGATCACTGATCTTCCTTCTGCAATGACATGACAGATCCCAGATATACTCGGCCACGCAGACACTAGTTCCGCGACATCAGGCGCATCCTCATCCGACGACTGCAATTAACTTGGTTGGTTTGCAGCATTGGAAGGGCTATAGCCGCCAATTTGGTAGGCAAAGATGAGGGGGAAGATGGGAGTTTATAGGAGGGGGTTTGGCTTAGGGCATGGCGGTGGATTCTGTAATCAATGCCAATGCTAGAAAAGGAACAAGATCAGCACATATCTGCACGAACATTGAGTAGGGGAGACAACACCTACTAACCACAGCCTGCAATAAGATGAGAAATATTAAGATTTCATTATGTGATTCATGATTAGTGGAACGATAATTAATAGGAAGATTTACATACACGCCACTAAATTCTTATATATTTACGTATCCAAGACATACTCAGCAAAGCAGACGCCAGCTAAATTTCCCATCCCTCCGGCCGCTGCTCGTCCACACCGACAGGCTCAGTGTGGCCCCATGAAAAGACAGACAGGAAGTTCCATTATGGAGCTATTCGAGAGCCAACACTACTCAAAACCTGTATTAAGATCGAGGGATATTAGGATTTCAATGATTGCAGGAACATAAAAAAAATACTTGCATTTTTAATAGCTTGAATGTAGTTTAGAGAACAAACAACTTTTTGACACAATCGCATGAATTTTAATACAACTAACAACAGCAAAGCCTTAATCCCACTACGTCGGACGGCTACAAGAATCTTTTTTTTTTTCCATTGCGTCCTATTTACGTTGAAATATTTCAAGAAATAAGAAAATATCAATGTAAAATAAGTTAAATTTAAATACCTGTAAACTTTCTAACACAAATCCATTTTAATTTATAGTTGAGAACACAGATTAATAAGTTCTGGAAAAACAAAACTTATAATGGATTAATATCATAATAAACTTGTAGTTTTTTCCCCTCAAAGAATGGTTGATCTTTAGAAATTAATATTATGATGAATCAGAACTTCAATGCGATGCAATCATTTGTGCTTATTTCGAGATTTTGAGCCATATGAATTAGCAATCTGGATTTTTTTGATGGCACAATTTCTGAGCTTTTTCTCTTCAATGATTAAAATTTTTATATTTAACATCTAATTTCTAGTTAAATATTTTCTGAGTATTTAATCCTCTAACGACCTCAGCAAGTAGCTAATTCCTGCAATAAAAACAATAAAGAATTCTAAGACTCCCTTGAAAATGAGACGAGACCAAATTGGGTCTGTTAATTTCTTTCACAGCAATATGCTTAAGGTTGAAGATTTGGAGTTACAAAATGCCCAGGCAGGATACAGACGAGTACAAGGATCAATGATGGATCCATATTAACGGGTGTTTATGATTGGACGAGAAGTAAAAATGAAAAATAAAAATAGTTAAATTACATCATTCAGTTCATCCCTAATTAAATTATTTAATCTTAAACCTTTTCCTTTCCCCTACTTAATGTTCAGCCCAATTTCTAAAATCATATTTCCAACAAAAAAAAAGGTTTAAATAAATAGAAACAAATGCATTCTTCTGATTTATATAGAATGAAAGAACAAATTCTGTCACTGATGATGGAATGGACATAATTGATTATAATAGCATATTAAATCATAAATCAAGACTATAATTAATTCTAAAATAAGAGAAAAAAAAAGATGTGAGCTTACCAACTTCATGTTCAAGACAAGATCACTGGTCTTCCTTCTGCAATGACAACAGATCCAAGATATACGCAGCCACGCAGACACCAGCCAGATTTCCCAATCCCACATCCTACGGCTGCTTCCGCGACATCAGGCGCATCCTCATCCGACGACTGCAATTAACTTGGTTGGTTTGCAGCATTGGAAGGGCTATAGCCGCCAATTTGGTAGGCAAAGATGAGGGGGAAGATGGGAGTTTATAGGAGGGGGTTTGGCTTAGGGCATGGCGGTGGATTCTGTAATCAATGCCAATGCTAGAAAAGGAACAAGATCAGCACATATCTGCACGAACATTAAGTTGGGGAGACTACTAACCACAGCCTGCAATAAGATGAGAAATATTAAGATTTCATTATGTGATTCATGATTAGTGGAACAATAATTAATAGGAAGATTTGCATACACACCACTAAATTTTTATGTATTTACGTATCCATGGCCCCTTATGTATGTATAAAAGATGTTTTTGATGTGACATGAAAGATTTAGGTGGTAGATATGTCAATATATACGAATTGAGGGGAACGCCCTAAAAAAAATAATGAAAGAAAGGTTGTTGAATTGTAAACTACGATGAGAATCAACTTCTTAGAAAGCTGCGATGAGAATCAAACAACAACTTTCTTACATTCATCTCATATTAAAAATTCATGTTGAAAAATCAACTTCCCATCACGGAAATTTCTAGGAAGCAATAATAAAACAGTTCCCCATACATAGCTTCAGTCTAATCTTATGGTGGGATAGAAGGTCAGACTAAACAAAAAATAATGGCTTATACATTGATTCAGTATGCAACAGTATAAAATATTAATACTTAATTTTCAAGCTAAACTAAGGGGTGGTTTGGTTTACAGAAAAAAAGAATTCTAAAATTGAAATATAATTTTGGAGTATTTTGGAGTTAGTTTTGGTGAGTTTAAAACAATTGTGAAAATTTATTTTTTTCTGTTTAGTTTGAAGTAAAAAGAAAATCAATTTAAAACAGGCTGGCCAGCAGGCGACAGCCAATGAGGCAAACTGAAAAATACTGTGTTCAATGCCGAGTGGTGGCATGTAGAGACCGTTGATGCATTTTCTAGAATGCATTTTGGAGTACACAATAAAAGAACTACAGGGTGAGCTTGGAATTCATTAAAATTTTATTTTGCATTCTAAATTCTTCAGCCAAACAATCCAAATGCAAAACCTGCATTTTACTTCCCAACCAAATGGCCACTAAGCTTGAAACTATATTTCAAATTCTTCAAATCAAACACCAAAATTCTTAAAACCCTAGCATTCTGAATACAGTACACCTAATTTACAACCATAATCGGCCCCTAAGGTAGAAGATGATCGAGAACACGCAAAAGCCGAACACTAGAATGGGTAACTCCAACATAGTACACAGACTGGAACTTTAAACTCTATAAGAGCTTTAATTATTTTGCCAACAAATTCATTGAAATTATTTTGAAAACTTAACTTCCATCTCATTAAGGGTTTTATGTACAAGAAAATAGAGGAATAAAAAGAGAAGCACGAGGAAAGGGAGAAAGATAAAGAGAAATGGGCAATTCTAAAGAAAGCAAGCTTTTTTTAAATAATGTCACCAATGGTTTCAGTCAAAATTATCACATTCACAATATTTCAGGGAGATTTATCATATAGAAAGAAAAGTTTGTTTTTTTAGTGCAACTATTTCTGATAAATTGCTCTTCTTGCATTTAAGATTACAAGTAAATTCTTTAGCAGCATTTTGAGCGCATAATTAATCTTATATCATATATAATATAAACATCTAATCTGAGGTAAAATGATTAAAAAAAGGGAGCGGGTGCAATCAAAAGCTCATAACTTAATATACTGAACAGTATGAACTGTAGAAGATTAAACTTTCCTCCAAGTTCATACTGAAATTAGTCAAGATTCTAAAAACTACTGTCAAAAGGCATACAAAATTGTCGGATAATAAACAATAAGGGCAGTTCTGGCGGAATTTTAAAAAATTCCAAGGTAATTTACATATATACCACACAATTCTTACATCATATCTAACACGTAAATTGGCTTTTATGTTCATACAAACTAAATTTTTATCATATCAAAAATACTGCTATTTTAGTTTTTACATATTATTTAATTAATATTTAAATAATTCGAGTTAAAATGAGCTGAGCAAGATTGAACAAAAACATATTCGCGTTTGGCACATTTATAATAAAAGCTCAAAAAATTTGTTCGTATTCAACTAGTTTGCTCAATGAAAGAATTGAACACTAGCTACATAGCAAACCGAACACTAACCATTTGCGAACGATGAGCATTTTTGACAGCCCAACTTTTCAGTCTTAAGGTTAATATAGAAATCAGCCAACTAGCTCTATATTTTAAGTCATCCCAAAACCACAACAGTTTTCAAACATAAATGAGTAACAAATAGAGATTCAGCTAGTTTTTTTAATGAATGAACTGAACACTAGCTACATAGGAAACCAAAAACGAACTTCCGCGAACGGACAGGCTTTTTTGAGAGCCCAACTTTTCGGTGTTAAGGATAATAGAGAAATCTGCCTTAGCTCTATATTTTCAGTCATCCCAAAACCACATCAGTTTTCACACTATAAAAGTTAAGCATAGATGAGTAACAAATACAGGGGCGTCAATTACAATCAGATGACTAGAAATAGAAACTTTAAATTAAAAATAATAAAAAAAAAATTAAGTTAGCCAACTACATATTGAATAAATAACATCACTATTACATTATTTCACTTATTTTTAAAAAAATTCTTTTTAAGTCATGCGTACACATAAATGTGCTAGACCTTAACCAGAAGACACAATGGCTAGAGAAAAAGCGCTCAACCATTAACCCAAACAAACTCCTACAATAAAAAACTGATGGTATATAGAAAACTATTCTGTCAGGACTCCTAACGTAGAGAATTATTCGGAGTCCGATGAAATCACGCCAAGTGATGGTGACATAAAAAAAATAAAAATCAGCCTGGTAACACGGGACTATTCCTCCCTTGTTATTTCATATTATTCAGGTATTATTGTATGTTATTCAGATGTTATTGTGTTATAGAAATATTCTCAATGTTATAATGACACAATAAAATATCAAAAATATTTGAATAACACACAATAACACCTGAATAACAAGAGAGGAATATGCCCGTGTTACCAGACATTTTATTTTTTTTATATCATCACCACGCAGCGTAATTTTATTGGACTCTGAATGATTCTTTGCGTTAAGAGTCCTGACAGAATAATTTTCCAATAGTATATAACCTTAATAAAAAAAGGCATCATCTAATTCAACACTTCTTTAAACATTTAATCACAGGGGCATTCACATAGATATCACCCAATTCTTATCCAACATCAAAACTTTACTTTTTACATTTATACCACTCAAATCTTTCATAACAAATAAAAAAATACCACCATTTTAACTTTTACAAAGTTAAATAAACCTTTTCATGCACACTTAAAGGGGCATGTATGTAAAACAAAGTTTATGTATTAGATATGTAAATATATAGGCCGTGAGGGTTATGTAAGTAAATCTTTCTTAATTAAACCTCTCATTTTTTCCATTCAATCTCCGGTCCAATTTCCAAGACCTTAATTTATAAGCAAACAGAAACAGAAAAACAATACATAACAAACAATATACCAAAGAGGGAAAATTTTGAATTCATTCTAAAGGTCTAAATGGCATGAAAGACAACAAATTGCACTGATGACGAAATGGGAATAATATGATAATAATAACATATCAAATCATAAATCAAGAACACAATTAATTCTTAAATAATTGGAAGGATAAGATGCGAGCTTACATTATTACTGATCTTCCTTCTGCAATAATAGAACATATCCAAAACATACTCAGAAAAGCAGACGCCGGCTAAATTTCCCATCAAGTAATCCTGCCGCTGCTCGTCCACACCGACAGGCTCAGTTTGTGGCCCCGTGAAAAGACAGACAGGAGGTTCCATTGAGGAGCTATTCGAGCCAACACTACACATAACCTGTATTAAGATTGAGAGATATTAGGATTTCAATGATTGCAGGAATATAAAGACAAAAAAAATACTTGCATTTTTAATAGCTTGAATTTAGTTTTTATTTGAATAACACACAATAACACCTGAATAACAAGGGAGGAATATGCCCGTGTTACCAGACATATTTTATTTTTTTTTATATCATCGCCACGCGGCGTAATTTTATTGGATTTGACTCTGAATGATTCTTTGCGTTAAGAGTCCTGACAGAATAATTTTCCAATAGTATATAACCTTAATAAAAAAAGGCATCATCTAATTCAACACTTCTTTAAACATTTAATCACAGGGGCATTCACATAGATATCACCCAATTCTTATCCAACATCAAAACTTTACTTTTTACATTTATACCACTCAAATCTTTCATAACAAATAAAAAAATACCACCATTTTAACTTTTACAAAGTTAAATAAACCTTTTCATGCACACTTAAAGGGGCATGTATGTAAAACAAAGTTTATGTATTAGATATGTAAATATATAGGCCGTGAGGGTTATGTAAGTAAATCTTTCTTAATTAAACCTCTCATTTTTTCCATTCAATCTCCGGTCCAATTTCCAAGACCTTAATTTATAAGCAAACAGAAACAGAAAAACAATACATAACAAACAATATACCAAAGAGGGAAAATTTTGAATTCATTCTAAAGGTCTAAATGGCATGAAAGACAACAAATTGCACTGATGACGAAATGGGAATAATATGATAATAATAACATATCAAATCATAAATCAAGAACACAATTAATTCTTAAATAATTGGAAGGATAAGATGCGAGCTTACATTATTACTGATCTTCCTGCTGCGATAATAGAACATATCCAAAAAATACTCAGAAAAGCAGACGCCGGCTAAATTTCCCATCAAGTAATCCTGCCGCTGCTCGTCCACACCGACAGGCTCAGTTTGTGGCCCCGTGAAAAGGACAGACAGGAGGTTCCATGGAGGAACTATTCGAGCCAACACTACACATAACCTGTATTAAGATTGAGGGATATTAGGATTTCAATGATTGCAGGAATATAAATACAAAAAAAATACTTGCATTCTTAATAGCTTAAATTTAGTTTTAAGAGAACAAACAACTTTTTGACACAATCGCACAAATTTCAATACAACTAACAACAACAAAGCCTTAATCCCACTACGTGGGGTCAGCTACATGAATCCTTTTTCTCCACTGCGTTCTATTTAGGGAATCATACGAATTTCAATAACTTGAAAGAAAAATATCTCAAGAAATAAGAAAATATCAAAGTAAAATAAGTTAAATTTAAATACCTGTAGACTAATTTCTAACAAAAATCCATTTTAATTTATAGTTAGAGAACACAAAGATTAAGAAGTTCTGGAAAAAACAAAACTTATACGGATTAAAAGCATAATAAACTTGTAGTTTTTTCCCCTCAAAGAATGGTTGATCCTTAGAAATTAGTATTAGGATAAATCAGAACTTCAATGTGATGCATTTGTGCTTATTTCGAGATTTTGAGCCATATGAATTAACAATCTGGATTTTTATTGGTCTGATTTTGATGACACAATCCTCGATTCTTAGCTTTTTCTCTTAAATGATTAAAAGTTTCATATTTAACATCTAATTTCTATTTAAATATTTTCTGTGTATTTAATCCTCTAACGACCTCAGCAAGTAGCTCATTCCTGCATTAAAACCAATAAAGAATTTTAAGACTCCCTTGAAAATGAGATGAGACCCAATTGGGTCTGTTAATTTCTTTCATAGAAATATGCTTAAGGTTGAAGATTTGGAGCTACAAAATGCCCAGGCAGGATACAGACGAGTACAAGGATCACTGATGGATCCACATTAACGGGTGTTTATGATTGGACTAGTAAAAATGAAAAATAAAATAGTTAAATTACATCATTCAGTTCATCCCTAATTAAATAATTTAATCTTAAACCATTTCCTTTCTCCAATTTAATGTCCAGCACAATTTCTAAAACCATATTTCCAACAAAACAAAAGGTTTAAATAAATAGAAACCAATGCATTCTTCTGACTTATTTAGAATGAAAGAACAAATTCTGGTACTGATGATGGAATGGACATAATATGATTATAATAACATATTAAATCATAAATCAGGACTATAATTAATTCTAAAATAAGAGAAAAAAAAAGATGTGAGCTTACCAACTTCATGTTCAAGACAAGATCACTGGTCTTCCTTCTGCAATGACAACAGATCCAAGATATACGCAGCCACGCAGACACCAGCCAGATTTCCCAATCCCACATCCTACGGCTGCTCTTCCGCTACATCAGGCGCATCCTCATCCGACGTCTGCAATTAATTGGGTTGGTTTGCAGAGTTGGAAGGGCTATAGCCGCCAATTTGGTAGGCAAAGATGAGGGGGAAGATGGGAGTTTATAGGAGGGGGTTTAGCTTAGGGCATGGCGGTGGATTCTGTAATCAATGCCAATGCTAGAAAAGGAACAAGATCATCACATATCTGCACGAACATTTGATAGCACAACCCTCGATTCTTCTTTTTTTTTTTAATTTATTATGGTTTTAATATTTAATATCTTATTTCTATTTAAATAATTTTCGTGTAGTTCATCCTCTATGGACCTTAGCAAGTAGCTCATTCCTGCATAAAAAACAATAAAGAATTCTAAGACTCGCTTGAAAATGAGACGAGACCCAACTGAGTCTGTTAATTTCTTTCACAATAAGATTCTTAAGATTAAAGACTTTGAGCTAAAAATGCTTAGGCGGTGGCTTAGCCATCTTTAAGGATATAGAATACGAGGATCAATGATGGATCCACATTAAGAGGTCTTGTTTATGATTGGATGACTAGAAACAATAAAAGAATAAAATAGTAGAAACAATTGAAAGTATCATATCTCAAAATTTTGAGATATGAACATATTCATTATATGCAAGAGTGAAACGTTATGAATTAGCCTATTGCATATTGAATTAGTAAAAATATAATTATTATAAAATTATTACATCAAAATTTTGTTTAATTCCACACGAATCCAAATGTACTAGACTTTGAACATAAGACCTTGGTTAGAACGGCAAAAAACACCATTTGGTCAAGTAAGCTGCACAAATAATAATCCAAAAGTACATAGCCTTAACAGAAATTACATCATCCAGTTCTTTCCTAACTAAATTATTTAATATTAAACTTTCCTTTCTCCCATTTAATGTCCATCACAAGTTCCAAAATCTTATTTCCACCAAAAAAAATGTTTAAATAAATAGAAACCAAAAACAATACGAAAACTTCAAATGCATTCTTCTGATTTACATAGCATGAAAGAACAATTTCTTGTACTTATGATGGAATAGACATAATATGATAATAATAACATATTAAATCATAAATAAAAAGTATAATTAATTCTAAAATAAGATCAGAGCGAAGATGCAAACTTACCGACCTCATGGTGAGCACATGATCACTGATCTTCCTTCTGCAATGACAAAACAGATCCGAGATACACTCAGCCACGCAGACACCAGCCGTAGGGCATGGCGGTGGATTCTGTAATCAATGCCAATACTATAAAGGTAACAAGATCAGTGCGTAGCTGCATGAAGATGGAACTGGGGAGCCAATACTGCCCATAGCCTGCATTTAGATGATAAATATTAGGATTTCATTACGGGGCACATGATTATTGGAACAATAATTAATAGTAAGATTTAAATACAAACCACTATCTTCATGTATTTACATATCTAACACCTAAAATACATTTCACATGCAACCAAATTGCCACTAAGGTTAATACTTGACAAAAAATTCATTGAAATCATTTTGAAAACTTAACTTCCATCTCATTAAAAGTTCTATATAAAAGGAAAATGAAAGAAGAAGAAGAGAAGAGGGCAATTTTAACGAATGAATACATTTTCACCATGATTTGAGTCAAAATTATCACATTCACATTATTTTAGGGAGATTTATCATATAGAAAAAGAAATTTTCCTTTTAAAACAACTATTTCCTATAAATTATTCTTTTTGTATTTAAGATGATAAGCAAAATCTTTTAATCTTATATCTTGTATAATATCAACTAATTTGAGGAAAAATGATTAAAAAAAAGTGAGCGGGTACAATCAAAAGCATAGAAATTAATATACCGAACAGGCTGAATTGTAGAAGATTAAACATCCTACAAGTTCATACTGAAATTAGTCAAGATTCTAAAAAAGTTGTAAAAAGGTATACTAAATTTTAAGATTAATGAGTCCACCAATTCATTAACAATAGGGTGATGCTCCTTTCCAAACTGCGATAAATTGGTCCAAGTGATTTCTCTCTACCTAAGCAATTCGGGCAAAATGATCTCCCTATATCCACCCATTAACGACATGTAAAATCATTAAATAAAATATAAATCAAATAATATCACATCCTACAGAATGAAAACCATAAAACCACCGAATTCATTGCTGGGCACAATTTTCAAAGCCTCGTTTCCACAAAATTAATGTATAACAGAAAACAAAAACAATATGAAATAAACTACATAATTGAAATAGGAAACTTCAATGCATTCTACAGATTTATAGCATAAATCATAACACATTATTGAATTAAACATGGAATGGGCATACTATGATAATAATAACATATTACATCAAAATAAAAGCAAAGAGAAGATGCGAGCTAACAGATTCCATGGCCAAGACAAAATCACTGATCTTCCTTAGCAATGACAGAACAGAACCAAGATAACTGCCAACCAGAAACCAGCCAAATATCCCAATCCTGTAAGCCTGCCGTCGCCCTTCTGGATCATCGAGCACTACCTTCTACAGCTGCAAATAACTCCATTGGGATGATCTGCAGTGTTGGAAAGCCAAGATTTTGGAGGGCAAAGATGAGGTGGAAGAGGTGGAGTTTATTGGAGGGTTTAGCTTAAGCCTTAGCAGTAGATTCTGTAATCAATATCAATGCTATTAAAGGAACAAGCTCAGTGTGAAAAGCCGAAAAGCCACAAAGGAGGTTCTGCTATGGCATAATTGGGGGTGCAGCACAGCACATAACCTGCATTAAGGTAAGAAATTATAGGATTTCAAAGCATAACTCATGATAGCAGAAGCATAGCAATAAAAAGAACACTTCTTTCATAAGGACAGTAGAGCATAAGCAGATTAAAAAAAAAGTATTAATGCATAAAGTGCAATTATTTGAATCAGATGAACAAAGACTTTGTTGTGAGGCGGGTGAGAATGATATAAGTTCAGGCTGATACTGGCTTGAAATTTGCTTTAACATGTATAGTCCAGCTTGAAATCAATTGTTTTTGCTTCATATATAAATAGATAGAACGATAAATATTATATTTTACAGTTTGACATAATTTTGAGCTAATTAAAACTAATCTATGGTGTGGTTTAGGATCAGATACTGTAAAAACTTTAGGGCATTTACATATATACCACACAATTCTTATATAATTACAAATCTAACAACTTAACTTTGATATTTACATACATAACATTCAAATCTTTGACATCATATCAAAAATATCAGTATCACTATCGCCTTATAAAAGTGAAAGACACATTTTCATGCATAGGTTTTAAAATACTAAGGTATTATAAATGTAAATATCAAACTTCAGGCGTTAGATATGTAAATGCATAAGAATTGTGTGGTATGCAATAATGGCACGATTAAATCATACTTAAAAATTCCAAAAATCAACTCAATTTTCAAGCTACACTAGAAAAAAAAATAATAGAAGACACTAGGAAGGAAAACGCCAGACTGAACTTTAGCTTGTGCAGAAGCTTAAATATTTAGGGGAAAAAAACATTTAAATCATTTCGAAGACTTAGCTTCCACGTCATTAAGAGCTTTATATGGGAGGAGAGAAAAGTTAGAAGTAAAAGAGAGAGAGAGAGGAGGGAAGTTTCAAGTCAGTACCATTGCTTCATAGATGAACGCTTCAGTAAAACTTTGTTTAATACAGAAATATATAAGAAACACCATGAATAAAAATAGATTATAAACTATAATAATGTCATCAATATCATATCAATCCTTCTCACCGTGTCTTTCCATTAGCAACACCATGATTGAAGTGGTTGGTGCAAGAAAAAGTATATAGACATCAAAGTTTCTTTCTAAGTGGAAAGAATGCATTTGTTCCCATGCATTCACATGAGAATTATAACATAAACATTTATATAACTTTAACAGAACTACATGCCTACAAGTTAGAGAACATGATGAGTGAAAGAGGAGAAAAGAATGTCGAGATAAACAATGAATTTGTAGAGTAATTAAAGAATGAAGAAGATGGTACTTATCAATAACTTCTTATGCTTAAAGTACTAGGGTATTGGGTATTTTTCTTCCATTCTCCATTCTTAGAGCCGGCTAAGACTTCAGAAGGGTAAAAACACTACAAGGAAATATCATCTAAACCAATACTACCTAGAAACCACAATAGTTAATAATGTCAATTAAAACCAAAACAGTGTATCAATTTAGAAGACAACAGCAAGTAGTACCCACAGAATACAGTAGCTAAGGACTTGTTACTTGCTAGGGATCACCTTTGTTTTCTGTTTTTGTTTTTGATTGTGCTTATATTTTCAAAATATGTTTGATTGGTGCATATTTTACATGTTTTTATCTTTTATTTTCAAAAACAAATTATCTTGTTTTTAAAAATATTCAAAAATCTAAAAGTTATATGAGTAATTTAGGGGCCATTTGGGATCACTTCTGCTTTCTGTTTTCTATTTTTTGTTTTTATTTTTGTTTCATTAATACTATCACTTGAAACAAAATATGTTTGGTAGGTTTGATTAAGAAATAGTTGTTTTTTAAAACACTCAAATAACCTAAATGTTGTAAAATAGTAAAATTGATCCCAAACAAACCCTTAAAAACAATTAAAAAGTTATAACATACCAAACATCTTTATTTTCAAGTAAAAACATTAATAAAATAAAACAAACAAATAAAAAATGAAAAACAGAAATGAAAAGTGATACCACAAGCACCCAAACAATTAAAGAAATGAATGTAGAGACTACACACGCTGCCAAACCAGGAGAGATTTCACCGCCATCACTGATTCCAGCATAGAGAGGTAAATAGTACCCAAATATAGGATAAGGAAAGCTGGAGGAGGGCAAGACCGGGGACCAATTTGGATCAATAAGAAACAAATTACCAAACCAGAAAAAGCTTAACTGAACACATTTTGAGAGAAGTAACAAGCGTGTGAACGTGCACACAATATATTCTCTCGCAACGTAAGTACAGCATTGTTGAAAAAGAGCCATTCTAGTACACTTACTAAAACAAATATAAATCATACATTTCACCAAGAGGATTATAAGTAACAGCATGCAAGATAAATTAAAAAAAATAATATCAAGAAAGACAAACTTTAATGTATTCTCTAGGTTTACATAGCACAGATATGATGCATTCTTCTATTATTCTAATAACAATGGAATGAAACAATAAAACATAACGTATTACATGATAATTCAAGAGTATAATTAACGCTTACATAATAACAAAAACAAGACAGGAACTTACTGACTTCATTGAGATGACATAATTCTTTGATTGCAAGCAGAGCAAAGCATTTTTCTTAGTGATGACCAAAAAGATCCAAGAAATACTCTAGCATGCAGGCACAAGCCAACTTTCCCATCCTGTAAACTCAGGCTAATCCCAATCATCCAGCTAAAACTGGGGGTTTTTGAAAGCGACCAAAGACAGCTCATCGCACATCATTTTCTCATAAGATGAGGTGGAGGAAGAAGAGTTTACAGGAAGGTTTAGCCATGGCAAGGCGGTGGATTCTGAAAACAAGGTCAATGCTACAAAGGAAGGCAACTCAATGCGCAGCTGCACCACCACAATCATAACATGACATTAGAGAAAAAGTTCCTCCCTGAAGGTAGCAAGAAAAAAAGTAAAACGTGGAAAGTCTATGTGCGATAAACCTCGCAAGGAAAAAATAAACGAAAACAAATCTGGCGACTCCGCTGGGGATCGAACCCAGAATCTCTGGTTTTGGGTAGTCTATGTAGATACTTCTTTCGCGGATATTGGTTTAAGGTGCCTCTACCCGATCTTGTTTGGGACAAGCTGGTTCCGCATGATATTGGTTTAAGGAACTCATAACATATTAGGTGTATTATTTTAGTCTATGTAGATACTTCTTTCGCGGATATTGGTTTAAGGTGCCTCTACCCGATCTTGTTTGGGACAAGCTGGTTTCGCGGATATTGGTTTAAGGTGACTTATCTCTGGTTCCGCATGTGCGAAACGCCAAAACAAATCTATCATTCATATGATTCGGGAGGGAGATTTATTTGAATGGGGCAAGTATACGATGATTGACAAGCTGACGACTCCTTTTAAAATAAAAAAAGAGAAAAAATGAACGGAAACAAATCTGGCGACTCCGCTGGGGAAGAGTCTCTCTCTCCATACTTGGAGTTTCGTTTTTTTGGGGTTATAGCCTCTCTCCATACTAGGAGTTTCGCTCATATTATCGTGACCTGGTTCTCTTCCTTCGAGTCATAGTTGAGCCTTTTGTGAGACCTTGGTTTTCAGAAGATCATAGAGGGCACAGAGAACACCCGGATTGAGCAAATTCAACATATGATGAAGAAGAATCAGATTGTATGGAAGAAAACATTGGTTTATATAGGAGGTTAATGCTTTAAATAACACAAAATGACTTCAATCTTTTTGAAGAGGTTTATGTTCATTTCATTAAGAGTTTCACCTGAGAAAAGAGAGAAAGAGAACAAAAGAAAAAAGTGGGTAGCATCAAGAAAATAAAACACTAGTTGGGCCATTTCACCATAATTTGAGCACAGGTGGAGGCTTCTAGGAAAAATATAGCTTCTACATGAAAATAAATATTTAATGAACTAAAATTATCATATTCACAAAATTTTGGGAAAATTTATCATATGGAAAGAAAAGTCTCCTTTCAACCAGAACTAATCCCTTTGAATTAACATAATCTCCTCTATTTCCAATGACAAGAAAAATTTTTGTGGCCTTTTGCATGACGCTCTTTATGCTTACATATAATTTAACAATAACATAAGATCCGAGTAACATCAAAAAGTGGTTTAAATTTAGTGAAGAAATGCAATTCATAGACCAAAAAAATGATAATTAATGACAAGCCAATCAAACAATCCTTTGATTTCATGTTGAAATTGGTTGAGATTGTAAATGGTACTAAAGATGCACATAACAAATTATAAGGTTTCAAACACAACATGTATTACAAGAAAAAAATAAGCTCACCAACATCATACCCAATAAACTGATGATCAAAGTCATCTCTGCTGTTTCATCCACAGCAAGCCCCCGAATGACAAAATCCAACTTCATAAGATTTTGAAATTTGTTTGTCACCATCATGATATAATGGCAAAGGAACATCCAGTTAGAATTAACGATTAAAATATATATTGCTAATACTGCCCTTGGGTGTAAGAGGCACTTGTAGGAAACAAATCAATGGATGTTAAAGGTGATGATTAATGCTTATAATGAATAAAATATTAACATGTTGACAAAAAGTTATCACAATCATAGATTAAAATTGTGTAAACTAATACGTGTCTCAAACTGAGATGTAACAAAAGGGGCACTGTTATCAGAAATAGCATGCAGTAAAAGAAGAACTTGAGGAGAATCAGTGCATGATAATGGGATTGATAATGTACGCATCTTAAGATTCACATATGTGCATCAAAATCCAGATCATAGGAATTGTGGTATGTATGTAAAAATTGAATTTTGAGTTAGATATGTCAATACATAGGAATTGAGCAGTCCATATGTAAATCCTCCTAGAAGAAAAATAAATATTAAAAAAAAACTGAAAAAAATCATTATAGAACTTGCCATACATCATAGAAAAAAATACTACTTTTTCCTCTTTTTACCTTGAAAGTATTTTGAGTGAGAAAATAGACCGACTTCAATAGATTGATAATTGAATAAACTTGCATGCACTAAATTACAGATTATTGGCATAATCATGATATACATGAAAGACAGTTTATTTGATTCACACTTTTCCTTGAAATTGAGATGCTTGTCAATAAGAAAGGTATAGACTATAGATATACTGGAAAATACAAGGAAGAGCTATTCTTCAAATCATTTGAGTCCATTCAATAAGTTCAGTTATAAGTATATACACTAACTAACCAATAACAAAAATGGTCATTAGAATTTAGAAGCAGCAGGCATATGAGGGCAATAGCAAAGCATGGGTAATAATATTAATGATTTATTTACATACATGCCAACAATTCTTATGTATTTACATTTTCAAAAGTAAAACACACCATTTCATGCATAAGGAAGGTGGCATGCATGTAAAAATCCAAGTTTATGTGTTAGATATGTAAATACCAAAAAATTGAGTGGTATGAATATAAATTTTCCTAAAATTAAGACATAAATAAGTCATTGGGGCAGCATTAAATTCGAAGACCTAAACAAGACAAACTCATTCATAATCCACATGCTCAACACACATAGAACGGAGAAACAGGTCATAAAGCTGAAATAAAAAGTTAAACTAGCAATGAGATGGCATCCATTTAAAGACTACATAGTTTTCATCCTTCATGGGTTGTTTGGTTGGAGATTACACAGATTTATGCAAAATTCTTTCAAACATTTTTTTAGCCACATAAAATCTTGAATTTAATCAAACTTGGGGGAAATAAGATTTAAAATAATAGCAACACTTCTCATCACTGCGTATCTATATCATTTCAACAACTACTGAGTATTTAGCACAATCTGAGTATTTGAGTTCATACATCATAGAAAAAGGAACAGTTTTATCCCAAGATTGACTAAGTTGGGATTTACAAATCCTGTTTGTGGCCAAACAGCACCAAAATAGTATAAGAATCAAACTTTAATTTAATAAGTTGGAATTTACAAATCCTGCATGTAGCCAAACAGCCCGGATAATTTCAAGAGAAACAAAAATTATTTGGTTAGCCCTAAAACAGAATAGAGATCTTGAATGATAAAAATGAACTCACCAGCTCCATGTCCACGATGATAATTCCCTCATCCACAAGCCTAGCCAAGCAAGCCAGCTCATCTAAACATTTAGAAATACACTAGAAAAAATAAATTAGAGAAAGAAAAAAAATCAGGTTTTTGATTTTCTAGATCTAATCCTGCTTGCCCCTTGTTTTCTTGTGCAATGTCTTCCTTTGGACACTTTTTTCTCTTTTCCCTACTTGGTCTCTCATCACTCTCTTTTACACACTCTCACAATTACATTCCACACTATATCACTTCCTTTTATTAGCACTGTGTTTCCACTTCACATACTATCATCAATACTAGTATGCCCACTTAATAACTCGAAAACCACCAAAATAACTCCCCATGTAAACTCTAAAACTATTTTGAAACTAATTTGTTACGAAAATCACACTATGGTATTGATTAGATGGTGTTGCAATACTATGGATGGTGCTACATCGCTTAGCTATTGCTTTATGGAATCGAGATCTTTATATTTTTCTCCAAAATTTAGGTCCTTATAGTGTTGAGGCACTCCGAACTATAGCACTAAGGTGCCAAACTCTTTATCTTCAACCAATTGCCCTCTCATATGCATTTTGGTATTGCAAACCAACTCTATTTCTCCTCATAATAGAGCTAGAGGATTCCTTTGATACTTTTAATGTAGGGATAACCCTTGAAAGTCAATCTAATGTTCCGGGAATCATCCATGTCATACTTTCTTCAAAATCCTTATCTTAAAGTGAAAAGTTTCTAATTATTCATCATGTTTATTAAATCTTATCAATTATTTTGGTCTATTTACAAAATTCATCCTTTCTAATTTATAATATGATTCAGGTTCATTACACCATCAAGGATATTGAATTCAAAATTTTGAGTGAATCACGCTATCCAAAAAGCTCGTGTTCGGCTCGTTCGCTAAGTTAACGAACCGAACACGAATGAAGATTTGTTCGTTCCTGTTTGACTAGTTTATATATATATATATATATATATATATATATATATATTATTAGTTTCAAAATAGCTCAATAAAAACGAGCGTATTTTCTGTCCAGACTCCTGACGTAGGTCTATGTGCGGCGTAGGTTATTCCTAAGTCATTTTCAGGTTATTTTTTTGTTATTTTCAATAATCCTGAAATAACCCAGAAATAACTTGCGGCCTTTATTTTTAGGTTATTTTTTGGTTATTTCTATGATATTTCGATATTATTGAAAATAATCTCGAAATAATTTGAAAATAACTCAGAAATAACTTCAACGGCACGTAAAGCTACGTCACCACTCCGCACAGAAAATTTTTTGAAGAAAAACAAGTGAGTGAGATATCAATAGAAAAGCCTTGGAAACTTGCTTGGAACATTTACATACATACCACCCAACTCTTATTAATTTGCAGATCTCACCCGGAAGTTGCTACTTTATCAACATTTACATAAATACCAAGTAAATTTTATTTATTTACATATCTAACAGCTAAACT